ATTTTGCAACAAAAAACTCAAAAAGAAATCAATTTCAAATTTTAGATTCGCGTTCTACATTTATACTTTAGAGAGCGGTTCAACGTAGAACTGTTCTCTATTCTTACACCTATATTTTCGAGAGCGGTTCCAGAGCGCTTGTTTAACCACTCTCTTAAATATAATAAATCAGATAGCGCAAGATTTTAGAACAGTTCTAAACGCTCTCTAATTCAAAATAAAATCGCTTTCAGATCTCTATTTGGGCGTAGTGTATTGTAAATAAATTGTGACTATCTTATTGTCTAGTAGTGATTTATCACATTAAAATTATTAAATATAATAAATATTTTTTAATAAAAATTATTACTTTTAAATGCTTAAATTTAATTTTAAGAAATAAGATTATCATTTTTGAAATATAAATTAGAAAAGAGACACTTAAGGATATGATCCAAAGACTCGTACACTTTTTCCATGCATTGTAATCAATTTCATTAAGAAGAAGAGTAGACTTATGAGTATTTTTTATTAACTATTTAATTTTTGAATGATGATATAAAGATTAGTGGTTTAATAACATATGAGGTTTAATAAACGATTATGATCTATATCTATTTTTACCAAAATTATTGTAATTACTTGGTTAACTTTTTTATTTCAGATAAGATACGATAAGATATATAATATAATAAAAGAAGAAAAATAAAGTATATCGTAATCCTACTCAATCCAACGTTTAATGCATGCAAATAGGTTATATTATAAATATAAACGATAAACAAATGGTAAAATTACCTTTAATAAAAGAGGTTGTGAAGGTAGCCATATTAGTAATTACAATGGAAACGATGATGATAATGTCGATCTATGAGGCAACGACCTAGTTGGTATCGTTCCAATTGGTTGCTTATGAACAACCTAAAACTCTTGTGTGTTTTTAAATAATAACTCTTTCTTTGGACATTTTAAACTACCCTTTGATATAAAGCATCAAATGGATCAATTATACGAGTTGGACATCAAATAACCAGATGGAATTGCCTTCGATGGGGAAACCATTTTCCCAAATGACAAATTATTATAGCAATTAGGTATAGACTCTGTGAAGTAATTGCGAGAAAGGTCTAAGATATTGATATTCCTTAACTGACATATTTGATTAGAGAGTTGGCCATACAATTGATTACCTGCCAATAAAATAAATTGCAAAGATTTAAAGCCCATAAATGCTCTCTGGAATAGTTCCATTAAATTTGTTATCACTCAAATCCATGCCTTATGTTAGTTGTTTACCATTGTTTTCGTTATGCTGCCAGTAAGACTATTTCCTTGCAAGAAGATGTAATTTGGCATTTTGATGCAGGAGTGTAGTGCACCAGATAACTTATTGTGAGATAAGTCTAAAATGCCAAGCTCAGGATAGCACATTTCTTTTGTTATTGCACCTTCAAAGTTGGTTCCTTGCTGCTGTGTTAAAAGAGGAATCCCAAGTTTTCCAAACACCCACTCAAAAGTGTTCCATTGAGATGATTATTATCCATCAGCAAATACACTAATGAGACACATCTATTAAGAATGTGCTCAGGTACTTTGCCAAAAACATTATTGCTCCCCAGAAACAATCCTCTCAAGCTTGACATCCTTCCAATTGAAGCAGGAATATGACCATCAAACATATTGAGACATCAAAATGCTCTAACTGTGGGAAGAAAAATCCTATGATATTAGGGAGCTCATCTTGGATCTGATTATTTGATAAGTTCAACTCGTACAATTGATCCTTGATGTTTTAGATCTAAGGGCAGTTTAATTTGACAGGTCAAAGAAATAGTTATTATTTTAAAACACAGCCTTTAGTCTTGGGTTGTTCATAAGCAACCAATTGGGAAACATACCAACAAGGTTGTTGCCCGATAGATCAACATATCTCAAGTTAGTTTGCATATATTACATGTCTTTTTCTTTACCCTTCTCAACATTGATAGGTTAATCAAATATTACATGTCATTTTTTTCTTAACCAGACTATTTTCTCAATATCAATATCAATATTCCTTGCTTATATCTCTCTCAGCTTTGTCACCCAAAATTCTGTTCCATATTTCTTGATCAATCACTGTAAATTGACAACTCTATTAATGCCCCTTTCGTGTTTTGAACTAGAACAATCTCTTAATTTCTTAGAACAAATCTAAAGTTAAAGGGTATGGGATCCTTGTGTATATTTTGAATAGCAACTTGCTTAACCCTATGTTATCCCTCTCTTTGTCATGATTGTTAACAAATACAAATTGAAGGGTAGCATCAGGAGTATTAATTTGGGGGGGGGGAATAAGGTGCAATGCCAGGGTAATAGTAGTTAATCTTATCAAAGACTCATTGCAGGTTATGATAATACTTATGCTCATAATAACACCATTTAGTCATTTAGGTGAAAATTAATCCTATATTCCGGGACTCATCAGTCATCTCTTTGTGTCAATCTTTATTTTTTTCTTTAAATATAATTTGACTTGTCACTTAAACATTTTAACTCAACTAAGAATACTTATACTAACTAAGAACAATACTTAAAACTGATACTTTGGGAATCAAAATGCATGCTCATTCCCAGTTGCTTGGTTTGGATTGTCTAATCTACCAATACTACTCTTTAGTAAACTGCTTGAAGATTAAAAGAGAGTAAAGTATAGGCTTGTTTTAAGTTATAAAGACCCCTCTGCACTTAGATGTGTTTATTAGAAACAAATGCTACTGAAGTTAGCATGTAGTCTTCATTCCGGAAACAAAGGGGAGATCTGTAATTCTTTTACTTGTTTTAATTTCTACAACTTTAAAAAAATAAAATTGATTTTTAATTACTGTTAAATGATGAAGTGAATAATTGTAATATTATCATGTCAATTAAGTATTGCTCGTCAGTTTTTGCTTTACCTTATTATATCAAATATTTCCTAGCTCACATTGAACATATTTTGAGAGATTAAAAATATATTTATATATATATATATATGATCATTTAAATCTTAGTAAATATTTAAAGAATTCAATATAAAAATATTAAATACAAGAATTTATACAAAAGAAAAATATGCTTAATTAAAAGGAAAATAAAAAAACTTCCCATGTGATCACAACAAATAAATGTCAAAATTAATCATTCATATCACTAAATTTTGTTTAGATTTTTTCAAACAAAATATATCGAAGAAACTGAAGGAGGGCATCATTCTAACATTGGGCCACCAGCCCACTTTTACCAAGGATGGAATTTTAATAACTTAACTTTTCAAACTATTTTGTTGAACAAAAAAAAATCAAATTATTTTTAAAGTTTTTTGAAAAAGATTATGTATTAACGATTTTGGTAGGGTTTCTTTTTATCGGCATGAATTTAATTTAATGAAAATAAAACTATTTGTGTAGATATAGTAATTTTATATTAATAATACAATGCATCATCCTAATACAAATGGATAATTTTGTTGGTATAAGAAATTAATATAGACCCCTAGCGCATCATGTTAAAGTATGATACATATTATATTGTTAGTTTAAATTCATAATATTTATATTTGTGGTGGAATTTTTATTAGAAAATATTCATATCAACTAAACATTAGTATATGATATTATTTTTATGGTAGTGTTAGATAGCATTTAACCCAATACTTGTTTGGTTTTCCATTTTTTAAAAGGAAAAATTAAGATGATTATAATTTTAGAAAAAAAATTAACAATAAAAGAATTAGAAAAGGAAGTACAACTTACTATGCAAAATAGAAACAGCAAAAAGCCCATAAATCAGTCTCTGTAAGACATATTTCTTTTGCTAATCCATCAACAAAATTGATCACATATTCTTGCACAAGTGTTGTGGTCAAACAATAGCTTCTAACTTTTACGCTTAACCCATCATAACTGCTAGGAAAATATAGCAATTTCCATGGCCTATAATATTGTTTTTATATACCCAAAACACTTTTACTGTACTATAAAGTTGTGCATACCAAAATCATCCGCATGGTATCTTGCATTTCAGCTTCGTGTGCCCAACAAAAAACGACAGGCTTAGAAGAAACAACCAAAATTTGGACTTACCGTTGTTCCTTTCCATATCGCTAAAGCCTCTAAATTTTTCAACATTTGTTGACATAGGGATTCAACAGACAAAGAAATCCCCTTACCATAGTTAGCTTCCAACATTAGGCTTTTTTTTTTTTTTTTGAAATTATAAAAATACAGATTTTTTTTATGAAAATACAAAAATATAAATATATTTTTTAAAATCGTCAACGATGACTTTTGGTCAAAAATCATCCATATAAACTTTTATTTTAAAAATTATCATTGACTAGTTTTAAATTTTAAATTTTTAATAATTTAAAAAAAATATTATTGGTAATTTTTAAAACTTCACTTCTTTTTTCTTCTTTTATCTCTGAATTTTTGTACCAGGATAATTTTTAAACTTTATATTTTCATAATTTTTTAAAAGGTATTATATTTCAATACATACTATTTTTAAATCCCATATATAAAAAAAATAACCCTCCATCGCTAGGAATTCCAAAATGATTATGCCATTAAGTAAGATGTTCCACCATTTTTTTATTAATTAAATTTTACTTCGTTTCTTTAACAAACACTTAATTTAGGAGTGTTTCGTGTTACAAAATATTTTCAAGCAAAAAGTCTTAATCCGTCAAACCGAGTATCAACCTATGTCAATGACACATCTTTTTAATATAACGAGGACGTTTAATTAAATGCAAATAAAGTCTGTTTGTTTCCTTTTTAAATATAATTAGTCTGTGGGTGGATTATGGGTAACCCAACGTCTAAATTGAATACTTATCATTCTTAAACTGTCTCAAATTTATATTGGCAAACCTTACAAATTCAAAATTATGGTAATCTCAGCTAATTGTATTTCCACTTAGCTTCTCCATATTTCTTTATAGCTGTTTCACTCCCTGAATAAAATTCTAAAAGAAAATGGAAAATTTGCAGTTTTATTTTGTAGGTTATACACGGGGAGAAGCCACTAAAACAAAACCCCTCAGATGTGTCTCAACGAGGGGAAGAAGCTATAAAATACTCACACAAACATGCTTGTTTCCGTGCAGTACTATCGACTAAAGTTGGCATGCCGGTGTCTTAGCAAAAAGTAAATTACATCCATTTATGAAATTAAAATAAGAGCAAATCAAATCATAGAGGTGCTTGCTCTCAGTGGCAAATTATGTAGCTCACAAATGACAATGGTGTTTGTGGTTATTGGCATTTTGTGGTGAGCCAAATGAGTCCCTTGACATGTCATACTTGAGTAGCATTTCCATTGGATTGCTTCCCTTGATGGGGTTTTGTGTCACCCATCTCTATGGATTCCTCCTCTTTTGGAACACCTTTCTTGTCTCGGTATATGAAATACAATATTAGTTGCATTGTCCCCAAAGCAGAACCAATACCATTAGGTACCTGAAATGCCATCCTTGACCCTGAGTCTGTTGTACTTGCCAATGCACAAATATAAAACTATGTACAATTGGTCAGCTAAAAATTCAAAGTGACTTACTGCAACAAATGGGTCCCGGCCTAGCAGACCAAAGATAAACCAGGAAGTGCCGCAGAGAAACACAAACAGCGACAAGAAGAAAGGCATGAACTCCACACTCTTAGTTTTGATCACTAGTCTCTGCACTTGGTTTCAAATCCACAGTAAACACACCCATAATGAATCTTAAAGTATTAGTTTTATCCACAAGTAGCACGGTTTCCTTGTTAGTGTTATATACCCAAATTTGCATCTCATTTTCTTAAGTTTGACCAATTGGTTATATGACTACAAAGTTGAATATAACGGTTAATCAATTTATACAGCTTGTTAACCAATAACAAAGACATTATTACTCGGTATTAAAATTTTAGTAAACAAATAACTGGGTTTTTTTAGTTTACACTGCATGTATCCTTCATTGTAGAGCTAACTCTACCGTAAGCTATTTTTTTCACACACAAGAATTGAAATTGAGACCTTACTTAAAGAGGACCAAGCATGTACCACATAAATTAACGACACAATAGTAGACAAATAACTGAATTTGATTCCACATGGGTGCATTTTAAATAAAAGGTAGAATTATGAGAGATTATTAAAAAAAAAACTAGCAGCCAATATATAACATAATAAATCATATTTAAATTTAGCTTACCATAATTGAGAGTGGCGAACCATACATGATTATGGAAAATATGGCGGCAGCGAAGCCACAGAAGAGCTTTCTGGAAGTGCCATGCAGGGCAAAAAGGGACACAAAAACAACAGCAGCAAACACAGAAAGCACAAAGGTGAAGATCCCAAGAATTTTAGCCTTCCCCTTCCTGGGTGCCAAAACGATGAAGATCAAAACATATATGGTTTCAATTAATGCTCCGGCGCCATTCACTGTTGACACTAATATGTTGTGGGGAGACACAAAAGGTAGACCATACCTGTGGATTGCAAAAATCATAAGGGACCAGAAACAGACAAAACTTATACAAAGAAACTAACCCATCCGAAATCCTATCTTAAGAATTAAACTAAACTAAGTGTTTGATTATTTTAGATTCTGGTACATATGATTTCAAATCATTAAACGTTATTGAAATATATGTTTATATTTATTTCAATCGTGACCTTTTACTTTAAAATGTGTCCATATATGTAAAATTGATCATAAGAGTAAACCAAACGGGCCCTCAACATAAAATAAAGCAAAGATGTAACATTCAGCAGCTAGCAAGATTAGGATATAGTTTTCTATGCAAAGATTGTAGCAATGGAAAGCGAAAATTCAGCTACTATTGAATTTTAATCCGACAAATTGACCCCCAAAAAAATTATCCCTGACCTTCCACACACATTACCTTTAAGGATTGACCAACAGACAATCAACTTTTTCAATTGAAAATACAATGTACAAAAAAATATTATCCGTCTATACGAAATTACATAAAGTTGAAAATGATGCAAAAATAATGACAGGTGGACAAAATAGCAACAATAGTAAGCACCACAAAGTTGAATTGAAGTACACGTGATCTGACAGAAGATTTGAGGGGAAAAGAGGCCATAAAGGCATAAAACAAAAGAAAGAATTAGGAAGAAGCTCACCAAGCAGAAAGGAGACAATTAAGCAGTGTCATAACATATGGAATTCCCGAGAACTTCTGTGTGGATCTGTTCTTTATTATCCGCTTGAATGTGATCCTACAGAACCCAAATTCCTCACAATTTTATCTCAACTTTCACTATTCCACACATTCAGAAAACACAAAAATAAATTTCTGATCCTATGCACAAGTGGTTGAATTGCCCAATTTCGTAAACCATGTTCAGGACTTACATGGAATAAATAATACCCACTACTAGAAAATAAAAAAAATAAAAAGAAAATAAAGTACTATGTGATGCATACACCGGAGCCAAGAAGAGGAACAGAGCGGAAGCATTCCCTGAACCAATAAAGAAGAGCAATGAGAAGAGACAGAGCAACAACAAATTCAGAGAGCACATGTAAATCTAAAGAAGGGGATCTTTAACCTACCAAATATTCCAAACAAAAAATGTGCAACATCCATGACCTTTGAACCTTTGTGATCCTTTCTTTCTTGTGCTTAATCTGAAGAAGTGGGTAGAGAAATTTCCCTAAAGTTGAGAGAACCAAAGTGCTCGAAGAATGCTTGTTTCTTTAGAAATGGTAACAAGCTAAGATGATAGGATAGTACAAGATAGTGGGTTTATATAGGAAAAGAAAACAAGGGCAAGGTTAAATACAGCATAATACTGTAATATGGTCTTATCCGGGGATTTGATGTGGGGGAACTGTTTTCTTTCATAATCATAATCATGCATGGGTCTTTGTCATGTGTCTGAGTTGCGCCAACCCGAAATAATGCAGATGCTCATGCTATATATAAATCATTGTCATACACGTACATAGCTCACGGGATGAGGTAAAGGAAAAAAGGGTAGTTTCACCACATGACATGACATCAACACGAGACATGTGTGCAGTGCAACAGTCAGCTTTCTGCCATTAAGAAACAGTTGCAATTAGACTTCAACTCGAGTGTTAAAATAATAACTATTTACAAAGAGAGGGGAAGAAAAAGACTAATTAATGAAATTTTCCCATATCACATTTTGTAACTAGACAATGACCAAGCAGAAAAGGACCTTGTTTGGTTATTGGTCTTGAAAATGTTTCTTAAAAAAATTAAAAACAATGATACTTGTGATGTGATCGAATATGAGATCAATTCTTTGTAGAGTTTTAACGAGTGCGAGAGTTTTGGGATATGTTCTGTGACTATGACATTAATCTTTGTGCCTTGGTTCTTCAGTGTCACCATTATGTGCTTTCACCTTATCTAATTCTATGTTTGGCTTCCGACAACAAATTCACCCTGATGTAGAAGAACTTGAGTCCAGTGCTCAAAAATAACTTTTTCTAAAGGGAATTGTTGTGTTTTTTGCAAGAAAAGAAAAAAGAAAACCAATTTGATCTCGTTTTTCTAGATTTCCCCAAGGCGACCCATAGAATTCCACGAATTTTATAGCGGATAACACAAGGACCCAATAACATTGTGGATTGTGCAATTTGCCGTGGGTTACAATGTGAGGTACAACTGTGTGAGTAGAGCATTGGATCGATGATCATCCTACCATCCTTTATCTTTTAGGTGTATAGCATAATCCACACTTTGGAGGGTAAAAACTCAATGCAAAGGATACATGTTAATGCATATTTCATAATAGCTAGCCCCTAATTCATTCCAAATTTTCTGTCTTTGTGTGGTTGGATGTGTTTTTATCGAAAATTTAAATAAGTCAGTATGACAATATTTTAACTCCATTTAAACGATGTTATTCATTTTTTTAAATATAAAATTGTGAGTGTTATTAATATTAATTGTGATTTTTTTAACGTGTACTTAACGATGCATAATAAATTTTTTAGTTTGTTAACTTTTTTTGTAATTTTACTTATGACAAATTACATGATCATTTTCTAAAATATATACAAATAAACCACTTCATCTAATTTTAAAGTCATATAATTGTAAACGCAAACAAAAAGCACATTATCCTACATTTTTATTTCGCTTAAACCGTGAAATATATATTATACAGAAAAGAATTTTGTTAACCTTTGTCTCTTTAGAGACATATATTTATTTTGTAGCTTCCGCATTTCATTCATTAGTTTTCGCAAACTCAATTTCTGTTTATTTGTTTCAAGAAACGAGAAGAAAAATATGGATGAAATAAGAATGGAGTGGAAGCTAGAGGACACCTACGGGAGCACCTAAAGACGGGTGAGGCTCAAATAGGTGAAATCGAGAGTGGAAATGAATCTTAGGATACGTGTGGCATGAACAACTGCACTGTGGTCCCTGACGTATTGGAAGCTTGCACCATGAATTGTATCAAGGTGTTCCAGAGGTGGCTTTTGAGAAGCTAACCAACGATAATGTTCGATTGATTGATAATCATGCCTCACGATTTGGTTAAGGTCCTATAAATTTTGCTTGTTTAGTATTGTATTTGATCTGTAAATTTTGTCACGCTTGATTTACATTATATCAAAACTTTATCTTGAAATCGAAGGGTCATCATTGGAGTGTAAAATTTTATTGTGTTTACGTGTACGGTGTGCAAAATTCCCTCAAATCAATCAGAAACACAAGCTACAAGTAGCAGTCTTTTGAGTTTGAGTCTAAAGTTGTGATCTCTAACTTTTAAAAAAAATCTTTATCTTCGTAAACCATAATCTGCATGATAACCAGCATTCCATGCATTTAAAAATGGTTTAAATATATTATTACTACTTGTAAATATAATAAGATTTTTTTAGTTATTGTAATTTTGTTCTTATTTTTATGACTGATGTTTTTAAGCTTTTTATGTTTAGTCCCTGTCATTAATTTGTTGGTAGATGATTTACGCATAAATTTACTTTTATTTCAACGCTATTAATAGTAACTTTTAAGTTAAATTCACGATTATAAAACGTGTAACATATTTTTAAACATGCACTAAATTTTGCCTTGCACACCAACGAATCATTCATGTTAAAAAAAATCCCACCAAATAATGCAAATTCAAACTTTAATAGTCATCTATAGTATCAGAAGGTATGACACAGATTTCCGTGATATATATTCGCCTTTTAAGGGAGAATAATGTATTGTTATAATACTGATGAAATGTATGTAGGTCGGATACTTATATATAATTTTTTACTGGTGAAAAAAAAAACTACAAACTAACATGTAAACGAGGTTGATTTATAAAAGTGTCAATATCTATGAATCGCTTTCCATAAACACCAAAGAGGAAGAGGAAGGGGAAATAAAGAAGCACCGACCCCTCTCAAATTAGGTACCCGTGAACTTTTGGGAAATTTAATTTATTTAGAATGTGAAATGATTTGGTTCAAATTTTATAAAATAAAGTAGGATTTACTAAAATTTTAGATGAGACTCGTGTACAGAAGAATGTTCTCCATTTGATTTGAGTTCCAAGTAAAGAGAGCGATTATTTTCATCAAAACATCATAACTCCATAAACCTCATTTTCACCGTGTTTGTCTTCTTCCTGTAATGACTCGAAAAGACTATATTATTCTCTTTCAATTCCCGCACGTAATTTCAATTGTGCATGTATTTATATGATGTGGGAAATAGCAGGTACAAATGGCATTGGAATTTTTACACACCAATGTGATCTTGGTGGGTCAGATTTTGAGCTTAGAGTCAGCTCAACTCGCTAGAAAACAGATGCTTCTACCTTTACCATTGACTAGATAGATTCATGAATTGCAAATAACAATAATTAAATAATTAATCGTATCTCTGCTGGGAGCCACATTAGGCAGCTTATTTTATTTAATTTATTGTCCAAATAATCTATTGCTTAACAGTGGCGAACTTGACCAATTATTTTGTGGAGGCTTAAGCAATTATCAGGTTTATATATATACTTTTTAAAATTTATTAGTAACTTATGAATATTGATTAAAAATTAATAAATAAATATTTTTATTAAAAAATACATTAGAAAAACTGTTACACATGCAAATATATTATAATATTGAATATTTTTTTAGTTATTTTAACTAATATCCAAAAGTCCTTAACAGTACTTTCCTACATTTTAATATAATTTATTGAAAAAATCATGCATGAAAATTATATTGTGGGGAGGAGTACAGCAGGTAGCTTAATACAGTAATTTATAGGAAAACAATAATGATATTTTCACTTTCCTTTATGGAGTGTAAGGTCGGTATAGAAACAAATAATGACAATAAAAATAAAAAATATGATGGGTAATGTAATAAAAATAAAAAAAATAGGAAAAAGAGTTTGTATGGTAAAATATAAAAAGGAAGGAATGTAAATAAATTATAATGGACAGCTAGGAAAATAGTTCTCATTCATTAATCTTATAGTATTCTTTTTTTAACACTATTTCTAGCTATTCACGAAATATTAACTCTTACGCATGATCCTAATATGATAATATTTATATAGATCAATAAAAATAGAAACGGTGTAAAACTTTTATTAAAAGAAAAAATTGATCATAAATGTCAGGGGTCCCAATGGAATAAGATACTAATCTGTTTGGTTTTTTCTAATTCCCCTGTGAAGTACACTTGAGAAGACTATCGTTGGTTCTAGACAATAGCTTGCTTCATGTTTGAAGCCTTAATTACGACACGTTGAAAATATCGTGTTTATCACGTGCACATAAGCAGATAGAAAGAAACAACGAAAGGTAACCTTTGTTTTCATGGGGCCATTGTTCATGTTGAAAACCTAACTAAATAATTGAATCGTGTAGAGTGTAACGATATCAAAAGGTAGAAGCATGGGTACACCTTTCATAGGACGGCTCTTGTAGAATGCTTGTGGCTGGAATGCTTAGTAAGTGGTTTCCTTCCAACTCAGTTTGGCCACATATGGACACAGACCAGCATTAATAATTATTGTAACACAGAATAGACGCAAAGTTCATGGACATGCCAACACCCCCTACTTTGTTCTGTTTCTTCCTTAATTCATTCAAAACCAAAGATGTGCACGTAATTTCCCTTCACATTACTTAGTTATGATGATACGTAGTTTATGTTGGTTGTGGGTCAGCATCTTCCCTTGAGAACACTAGGAATTTAATTGTGACACTTATTATTAAGCTTAGGTATCATAGTAAAAAGAATTGAGTCACGAATAGTAACAATAAATTTTGACCTAGTACTATGACTTCGATATATGATGTAGGGGAATAATTGAAGCCGGGGGTCACAAAGCTTGATTTTTAGAGGAAAAATATTAGTTGTGTATAGAAAAGCTTTTGGTTTAATGCTAAATGTGTTGTCCAACATCTTATAATACTGTTGAAAATTCAAGTATATGTGATTAACTCTTGCATTAGTTTAGAATAACTTGAACTTCTTTTTGGAATTTTTTATAGGATATTTTCAATTAAATTATATTAATTAATAAATATAGTTAAAGTTAAATATTTTTTCTTTTTTAAAATATATTAATAAGATGATAAATTTATTATTATTTAGTATCATTGAATGTAACTCTATTATCAATATTTACTCGTTATTTTTAATTTAAGCTATCACCATCTATATCTATTAAGAATAAATATAAAAAGTAATATATATTTTTATAAAAGTTATAAAAAGGTCTTATAGATAATAAGAATCGTTAGAAGTTT